AGAGAAAGAGCGTCCTTCCCATCCAATGTGAGCAACATGTTTCACATCGGTCGGGTTCCCAATCTGTATCTTGGGCTCTTTCTCATTCTCTGCAACAATTTTCACAACATCAGAACGAAAAAAATAAAACTGTTTTTTTTTAAAAATTAAAATTTACGATATTGAACGAGCATAGTATCGAAAGGTAGAACAGATATAAGGATTGAAAGTTATGTGATCTTGCAAAGGAAAGAAATTCTGTGGACTCACCAAAGATACGAGAGATGCATCTCAAGCCTTTCAATAGGCCCTTCATTGATGAAACCTTCAAGTTGACCTAACTTGCACATCAAGAAACACGTATCACCCTTTTCTGATACAAAACAGAACCCCATGAGAATGTTCAATCCTGACACGAGATTATAATGAGGTTATTGTAGTATCTGTCACATTGAAAATGCCCAATATGCATCTCTACTCACATTGCTCATAGATGAACCCAACCAAAGGAACAAATATATATATAATATATATATATATATTATATTGTTTTCCGTACTCTCTTCCCTTGGGGCTGTGACTCTCAATTAACAAAGAGACGAAGAGAGAATTCTCGATCCTTTTTTCCCATTTTCTTCGAGCCCAAGGCATCCATTTTTTTTTTTTACATTTGAGCAAGGACACGTGGCAATATACGGTTGGCTTGCATGGTTTTAAGTCAATGGAGATAAGGAAGATTTCCGGTAAAATTTTGTGTTGCAAAAAAAAAAAACTTAATTAACCCAAAATTAGAGAATTTACGACTAATCAGACGGTTGCTTATGTTCTGTCTAAGCGCGGTTGGAACCGGAACCGAACCGAAAGGCTTAAATAACAAGGCTCAATTTGGACACCTTTTGCTTTGATGTACAAGTCAACTGCATATTCTTCCAGTTCATATAAAATCAATTTAAAATAAAAACGTACAATCCCAATAAAATTTCATACATATCTAATAACAAAAAATTAAAACGGTTAATCAATTCAGATTATTTGCATTTAAGTGTAGTTCATGTTGAAACCTCAGAAATCGAATCGAAGATATTCCATATACCGGCCGAAAAGCATTAGATATTATTCAAGAAATTAAACTAATAGCAATACAAATACGCATAGTGTAATATAGCAGGTCAAACGATTATTTAATAGCAGTAAACCATGGCGATGTCGTCGTCGTCGTCTCCATTCAGTGGTGATGGTGGCCGGACTCGCTATCGCTGCCGTCGCTGCTGCCTTCGTCGCCATAGACAGTTAGATATGCGAAGCAGCAACCAGAAATTCCCAATATCACTAACAAAAGGGGTAGAACAACGAACAACAGATCGCCAAACATCGCTCTTCTTCTTCTTTCAGAGAATCGGTGTTTAGGGTTTAGCTAGAAAGAAACCTTGAAGCTAGGGTTTGTCCTTTTCTCTCTTCTTGGTTTATGTTTGGGAGCTTTTGCGTGTATATATATATACACACATATACACACGCGAGTGAAGGAGAGGAGGATATGTTTTGGCCATGTATCGTTTGATTTCGGCGTGCTTTAGAGTTGTAAATGCTTAGATTGTGTGTTGTATAGTTTGCACGCTCTGCATCCATATATATTCATTGTGGATATTTTGTTTTTTTTTTTTCAATCAATGCGCATGCATGTAATATGCAATATATGTGTCATCTTTACCATGCATGACCACGGGAGGCCTAAGAAGGGCCCAAATTTAAGATTTGATTAAATGAAATGTTATCATTATCACTATTCAATTTATTTCCGGTCGCTAATTATTAACTATTATTTTATGATAGATAATTAAAACCCTACATCGTACTTTATAAAACAATTATTGAAAAAAAAAAAAGAGATGAACTTGCAGCTATTTTTATTTTATAAAAAAACCTCTAAATTTGCAATCTTTCCTCATATAAAATACGAATTTATCCAACGAAGTCAGGATCGAGAATATGGTTTGAATTTTCATTGGAAAATTCCAACGGATATAGGTTAGAAATTTTCGTTGGACTGACAACATTTTCGATGGATCAGAATCATCGGTTGTGTGTTTCCGACAGCCCATTCCTCGCTGAACCTGGTCCATATCGTAGATTGGTGGGACGATTGATTAATCTCACGGTTACTCGTCCGGAACTGTTGACTCGGTGCATATGCGGTCTCAGTTCATACAGCAACCAAGGCTCACTGGGATGCCGCTCTTCATGTTGTCAGCTTTTTGAAATGCGACCCAGGTCCGGGTCTCTTGTTCCACTCAGATTACAACCTGAGGTTAAGAGGTTGGTGCGATGTGGATTATGCCGGATGTCCGTTCACCCGGAAATCGGTCTCCGGCTAGTACGTCCAACACCAATGTTGTGGAAGATGAAGAAGCAGTCGATTCCATCTTTGTCTTCGGCCAAATCAGAGTATTGTGCGATGCGTGTGATCACTGGATCAAGAACGTTCTCTCCAGCCTTTGTGTCGATCATTCGGAGCAGATGCTGCTGTTCTGTGACAGTCAATCGTGTAAGTATAAATTGCACTCACCGACTTGAGGGGGTATTAGCCGGGAATATCTTCTCATTAAGTTGGATGTATTGTGTATCGGGTTAGTTGCCAATTGTTGTTAGATTTCTTGTATATTCTCCTGATGATTTTCCTACGCTTTTCGGTGTGTACACAAGCTGTATATATGTTCGGTTTTGACTGTCGATAATACACACAAAATTGTTCATCATGTCCTTGGCTTCGTGACACGGGTGCTTCTTACTGGTGGTAGGCTCTAACCCACAAACGTGTGCAACTCAGACACAGTGGCAAAGCGATGATCGCAAGCAAGCGAGGGTCCAACCATCCCCTAATGAGTCCATGAGTGGTCAAACCGAGAATTGCATCGACCACACATCTCCCTAATAAACTTGTTGAAGCCGTTGGGTTGTGGAGACACGACCACCACCGCTTGGAAACAGCTTGCCTGAACGGTTTTCGCTCGGTTCACCCGATGAGTCAGGCTGGCTGCTAGACATCACGGCTCTTTTTGACGTGCTCCCCTTTCGAGACGAGGAACTGGGTCTCTCAGATTCATTCTGCATAGGTAGCAGATACATTACAAAATATACATATACATACAACTCCAACCATATTTGAAGTTCATGGAAATTCCATATCTTGAGACGCCATAGTCGAAAATCTCAAGATTGATTTAAAGTTGCAACCTTGTTCGAATTCAGGCAACCTTAATTAGTCGAGAAAAAGTCATAAACATGTCCATATTCGAGAATTGTTGAAATGTTAGACTTCTACACGACATCTCATCATGTTCCTTGCTAGAGACCGATTCTTACGGATGCGACGCCAAACCCAACTGCCTTTAGCGAGTGCTAGGCCACCCAAAACGAACCTGTTTATCAAATCTTTACTTCTCTGATTCATCACTCAGAACTTGCGAGGGAAGAAAAAAGACGGGCAAATAAAGAAAGGTTAATTTCGACCTCGATCTCAGCTTACAAACTAGTATGAAAATGCCGTGTTTTCAAGTCCTCGATTCTTCTCGAACGTCCCGTCGTCACGCGAACCTCGTTCTCGGACCAGAAACTTCGAGCCCCTTCTTCCCATCTAACGGGTTTGATGAAAACCTTTATCCACACTTTTGGTTTTTTTTTTTTGTTACATGAGAGAGAAATAGAGGGAGAGAGAGTTTTGTCCTAAGCTTTACGTATGCGATTGAATTTCCCATTATTTTTTCTAAATCAAATGTCCGCTTGTCCTTTTGATGTTTGAAGTCCCTTTCATGTTCAAACAGTCGAGTAATTCAAATAAGCTTTTAACTATTATTATCGATGATTGTATCCATGTTTGAAAATAAAAAAAAAAGCAAAGATTTAAAAAAATATATATATATGCTTTGTTCTTGAATTCTCAGATTATAAAGCGAAAACATTTTATACTCGCAGCCACAGGCAGATCGTGAATAATATTATTACTTTAAGGAATTAGTAGAAATACAAACAAACGCATAATACGGTAAATCAAACATAAGCAACAGTAGTAGTGGTAGTAATAAAAGAGCGAAGCTCATGGGCAGGCATGGGGATGCTGCCGTCTCGATCCATGTCTCAGTGATGGCCGTCGTCTCCGTGCCCGCTTTTGCAATCCACAAAGAAAGCGGCGACACACGCCAGACATCCCAACAGCGCAATCGCCAGCGAGCCGTAAAGCAGCACGTCGTAAAGCATCTCGAGGTTCGGTTTCAAGGGTTTCGAGAAAAAAAAAACTTGAAGGGTTTGTTCTGTTTTTCTTTTCTTTCTTGGCTTAAGCTTGGGAGCTTTCACATATACATACACACATATATATATACAAGTCATTTGATTCCGGTGTGCTTCAGAGCTGTAAATGCTTAGATTGTGTGTTGCACTCTGCATTCATTCGTTGCGGATATTTTGTTTGTTTTTCAATCAATGCGCATACGGTCTCTACCACGGTTTCAATACGGGCCACCGATATAAAATCGAATGATTATATGATTATTTTGAAACCGAACCCGAACCAAATGAAAAAATGGGTGTATTTATCCTAAAAGAACCGTACCCGAATTGAATATAGTTTAACCACATCGAATCGAATTAATATAAAAACCGAATGGTTATATTTTATCAAAATCGAAATAACCAAACCTTGATATAATCTAACCGAAACCCGACCCGAATAAAGCCCACCCAAATGCACCCTTCTGCACTAATTTGTTCACTATTCTGATACATGGGCGTCTACCAAAAAGTAAATAAATAAACCTTTGTCGCAAAAAAAAAAAGAAAAAAAATTTCTCAAGTGACTGAAAGATTCTTTGGGACAAGAGTGCTAATGGGTATTACTTCCAAAGGATGTTGGAGACTCCTCACCAAACCATGAATGACCTCATTGGCATATCTCTTCCCCTGGGGATCCTTCATCAGTATGCTCAGAACATCCGGTGGTATAACTGGTGCAGGCCTTACCTTCATCTTCTTCCCCTCCATTTCCTTCCCGTTCAAGCTGTGACATCAAAATATACATACATACATACTCTCTCAGTGCCGCCATGGAAATGATGCAGAGGGTTTTTCGAGTTTTTTTTTCTTAACCTGTTGAGAATGTGAAGCATGTTGGGCCATTCAGAAAGCTTGAAATAGACATCCACCACATCGGGTTTTCTCACAGCGAACTTGTTGATCTGTCCGTAACGCGTGCATGTCGCCTTCAAGTCGGACCTGCATGGGTTTGTAAACCTAAGCACGGTTGTCCTCGGGACATCGATCCTAAAGATAGTCAGCTTCTTCCCTGCTACGCTTATCGAGTGCTCTGCTATTGCCCTTTCTTTGCCATCCTCTGACTGCGAAAACTCAGATGATTAAACTACACTTAACGTCCAATGGGTTCGAGCAAGAAAACATTAAATCTTTTACCTCAAACTCGACGAAAGCAGTTGCGCTCGAGGAGCCCAAGAAAAACCTAGAAATGTTGCATCCACAGAACCCAAGTGCTTCTTTAATCTGATTTGAACTTATATCATGTGTCAGGGATTGAATCTTCACTGTCCGGGTCGGTTCCTTCACTAATGCAATAGGGACATCAGGATCACCAATCACATCTGGAATCTGCATCCTGCCTTCTTCTGCTGCATCTTCCTGCGAAGTTGCCTCCACAAGTACATTGCGATTATTTACCAAGACATCAGTTTTCTTTAGAGCCATTTGAGCTGCTTCTTTTGTCTGGAATCATGACATCAATGAGACAGTCAGTGAGCAGAAAAAGCCTTTCAGTTTCATAAAACGAGTGTACGAGGAAATGAAATGAAGTGGATGACTCCTTAGAACTAACCTCAAATGTCACAAAAGCATCCCTGTAAATGCACCCTTCAACAGAAGCAACTTCTTTCACGCCAGAGATGTGCCCGCAAGAATTGAAGGCAGTGTGGATATGTTTCTTGCAACTTTCTGGAGTCAAAAACCTGACCAGTACAGTTTTGTGGGCGAATTCTCCGGAAGAAAATGCATATGAACTCTGTTCTGTTTCCTTTGTATTCGGGGAATAAGCCAAAGTGGCCTGACTGGGAGGTGCTGCTCTGGTTTCTTCCTCCTTTCTTCCTTGGGAATTTGTACTCTCTTTGCTTACGGAATCATCTTTGGATACAGATTTATCTTTCTCAGTACCCATGTCATTGTCAAATGGAAAACGCTTGATGCAATCTAATACAAGGTTAATGCTCATGATATTTTCGTTTCCACTCCCACTCCCGGGTACAGTCATATTTGTGTTTCCAGAACTTTCTGATAAATTGGTACTTTTACTCTCGCTAATTGCCAGGTCTCCGGTCATCTGATCATGATTTTTCCCCTTAAGCAAGCAGTCCAATTGTTTGGCCTTTTGAAGACTACCTGACTGCTCCGGCGTATCATTTGCCTTGGAGCTACTTTCTGGATTGAGAGAATCACATATCATCTTACCAAATCGATTGTCTTGATCACCAGACAAACTACCATGGCTTTTCCCTTTGCCGGTAAATGTCCTGGAACTATCATCCATAGCCTCAAACATAACAGATGACTTAGCCTTATGAACTGGCTTCGAGTTTCCCCAAGCCTCAATGATTTTAGCCCAAGGTAGTTTTTCTTGATGGGTTTGCCCAGTTTCAGATGTTTCATTCTCACACCTCCGCTCCTCCAGAAGGTCAAGTTTTTCAACTGACTCTAATTCCGAAACCTTCGTGTTTGTCAAGTCGGAGCTGTCTGAACAACTGTCCAATTGTTCGGCCTTCAAAGGAATGGCTTTTTCTGTCTCATGGGAAGTCTCAATTCCTGAAACACATTGGGTAACACTCTGAGATGCTGTTTCAGACACTGACGATTCTGTCTTGGTCAGAGAATCTTCACACTTTGTTTGTTCAGAATTCTTCAGCGAGCTGACCTCCTCAGAAGTAGTGACACCCGATGTATCTCCCGAAGAACATTCTTTTGTAGAAACCTCAGCCGAGTTTGCAGAAATCGTTGAACCGGATTCCAGACCAGAAGTCTTTTCCGCAACGTATGAGTTTCCAACTATCTTTTGTTTTAAATTAGTTAGTATACCTCCCAAAGAGTACCATGATGCATTCTTCTGGGCAGAATCTCTGCACATCGAAGATGATTACAGTGTAGCAAAACAATCTTCAGCCCCATAACCATTTCCACAAAGAGAAAAACACTTAATAAATCAACAATTATCATACAGACATCAACAGGGAATCATATCTAGTAATACGAGTTATGGAACATTCCACAGAATTCTGAGAAGGACCCATCACCACATCCCATTTTAGTATCCCGTCACTAACCTTCAGGCAGATTATGCTCAGTCTCTCAAGCCACTATTAAGCACATCCGATGTTTAAATATGGAGAAGAATCCAGATGTTTATCATATCATATGAATCAAATAAGATCATCATTTACTGTAAGAAATCCTGAAAAGGTAACCAGAGTTGTAGTAAAAGAAGGGTATCTTACGAGAAAGAACAAAAAAAATACTCACTTGTTCGCGGAAGACTCAGACTTCAGCACATCATTCCGGCCATCGCTCGGAGAGGAAGGAGAAGAACTCCACCTCCTTGTCGATAAGACGAACCCTAGACCCAAAACACGTATCATAAAAAACGCGCAGACCAATGAGGGGGGAAAACTCGCATTGGAGGAAAAAAGCACCATCAAATCAGGTTTCGACGAAAAGGGTTTTTCGGGTTTCACCTCTACTGCTGAAATGGAGAGCTGGTTTGGGAAGAAGAAGACGAGCGATCGCCATTTCTGAGATCAATCAGTGTTGAGTCCTCCCATCCAAGGAAGGAACAGACACGAAAAGAAAGGGTTTTAGGGGTTTTAAGGAAGAGACAGAACCCTGCTTTTGTATTTTCCAGTACCTTAACCTCCTCATTCTTGGTAAGTCCGGTTTGATCCGGTTTATTTTGGTTTTCCTTCTTCATGTACTGAGGGAGGCCAACCTCGTTGTAAAAACAGTTCTGGTCTGTCAACCGGTCATTTGACCCAAAACCGTAATAGAAATCATGATTGTGACCCGGTCATTTGGTTGAGATAACCGGATCTCAATGGCTACCAATTTCGGTTTAATTTGTTCTTTCCCCATTGATGTATGACAGGTTTTTACACTTCCATTCTGAGAAGAGAACTGAATAAGTACTTGTTTCAAATTACAGGTACTCTTTCTGAGACATGAAAAACACAGAAGAGAGATGGATTATTTCTGCTCTTGTGACTTTGCCTGAAGTGCTCCATTGTCGCCGCCGTTTTTTTTTTGTCTCTTCTCCCAGAAGATTGGCTCTTTGAGTTTTTCCAGTTTCTTCTTCATTATCCGAACCCTCATTTCTTCTTCCCAGAGCTCATGCTGAGGAGCTCGAAGCTTCTAATGGCGGAATCGACAGGCCCGGGCCTTGTAACCGCAGAAGCACGGGTGGTGAAAGGCGATGACTTAGACTCATAAACTTGTTGAAGCCGTTGGGTTGTGGAGACACGACCACCACCGCTTGGAAACAGCTTGCCTGAACGGTTTTCGCTCGGTTCACCCGATGAGTCAGGCTGGCTGCTAGACATCACGGCTCTTTTTGACGTGCTCCCCTTTCGAGACGAGGAACTGGGTCTCTCAGATTCATTCTGCATAGGTAGCAGATACATTACAAAATATACATATACATACAACTCCAACCATATTTGAAGTTCATGGAAATTCCATATCTTGAGACGCCATAGTCGAAAATCTCAAGATTGATTTAAAGTTGCAACCTTGTTCGAATTCAGGCAACCTTAATTAGTCGAGAAAAAGTCATAAACATGTCCATATTCGAGAATTGTTGAAATGTTAGACTTTTATACTGACACCGTGATGCATTTAGGGACGCAAAAGGAGATGAAGAGACACTAACCAATTCCTTAGAAGATGGTATATTACCATCAGAAGATCGATGTCTAGTGCCGTCACCCTGAACGCCATTGCTTTTAACATTTCGTCTGGTGAATGCCTCAACCGCACCTAAGAATCTCTCTCGGAGATCCTGTCCCACTGAACATAATAGGAAATCAGCCTGTGAAATTTGTTCTATCTTCTATAAGGATATATTGCTTCGACAAGCTTTCTGACACCCAAAACACAAAAATATTGACAAGAATTTGACATTTGTATAAGAGGCTAAGAGCTAAGGACTTGAAAGATAATATACCTTCCCTAGGCTTTTCAGCTCTTTCTGCAGATGGTCCTGGAGGGTCTAATGCTGGTCTTGGATTTGGCTGTAGAGAGAAACGATAATATACTAAGGTGAGGGATTTCAGACCAATTTTTCAGTCCTAAGACTCGGTTCTTCACATGTTAATCCGGAAGGAGAAACTGACCCTTTGCCTCGAACTTGAATTAATCTGAGGATACTTCAAGATTGTCCAGTCAAATACATAGTCGAGCTGATAACCTGCACGCAACGCATTTATAAAATTTTAAGACAGACAATGGTCGGTCTCTGCAAGAAAAGTTCATAATGATGGATAATGTAGAGCAAATAAATACCAGCAAGCAAGAGGTCTCTAACCTTCCCGAATGAAAAGATCCCTGAAAAGTCTCTTGAGGTACGAGTAATCAGGTTTGTCCTCGAACCTCAATGATCGGCAGTAATGGAAATATGATGTAAACTCTGATGGGAATGACTTGCAAAGAACCTGAAATCAGTAAAACCAATTAATTTTGAAAAGTAGTAGACGTCGAATGAAATGATAAAATAATTACAGAATCTTATGGAATGTAAACAACAATGTACCTCTACAGGAGTAAGAGTCTTCTTTTCACTGATTTTGTCGTATTTCTGCTTCTTGGTACCAGCTTTCAGGCCTTGCCAAGGAAGACTGAGAGAGGAGAAGGCATAGAAAAAACGAGGTTAATGATTTCATTCATGTTCTTATAGAAAACTACCAACAAACGGGAAATCAAAAGCAGTTTCCTACCTTCCCCTCAGAAAATACATCAGCACATAACCAAGAGACTCCAGGTCATCTCTTCTACTTTGCTCTGTAAGCAAATACAAGAGATGGACACATGACCAAGATATTTTTTTTCATACAAAGAAAAAGCCACTGCAATGTATATGAGCTGAAAAACACTTCATACCAATCCCTAGGTGTGTGTTGACACTTGCATACCGAGCAGTCCCCGTAAGATTCTTGTTTTCCCTGTACGAAAATTAAAACTAGCTCTCATGATGCAAGCATGGAAAGAGAGTGGTCGAATGAAAACCTAGAAAGGGTCCTGAATAAAATTGCTGAGACAGGACTTAAACCTACAATTCTGTTCCACGCTCTAAATTTATCTGATGATGGTGAAATCAGGGCAAAATTCATGAAAGTTTTAGAAGAACCACCAATACAGTACAGCATAGAGTACATCAAATTGTGAAAATAAGACATAAACATAAAAAACAACCCACAATTATACAATATCCTAGAGCCGGGTGAGCTTTCATTTTTCACCTGTATGGTATGTGCTTGTGCGTCTGAAGATCTCTATACTTTTTAGCAAGACCATAATCGATGATGTACACCTGAAATGAAATTAAAATATGTTAAACAAGATGTGTCTTTGATAATTTCCATACCATAAGAATTAGATCAAGACTAACTCTAGAAGTAACCTGGTTAGCTTTGCGCCCCAGCCCCATCAAAAAGTTGTCGGGTTTAATATCACGGTGAAGAAATCCCCGAGAATGCATGTACTCGACTCTGCTTATCTGCCGACGATATTCAGAGACATAGGTAAAGCAATGTGTTAAATTTATCAGTCTGACAAGACGACACAGATCAAGTGCATACTTACTAACTGATCAGCGAGCATTAAGACAGCTTTCAAAGACACCTTCCGATTACAGTAATTGAACAGGTCCTCCAAGCTTGGACCAAGAAGGTCAATAACCATACAATTATATTCACCCTCAACCCCAGACCATTTGAGATGGGGAATACCCGCTGAATCAAAAGGAAACATAGAGTTCAAGCCATTGAAAGAGACATAAAAGATCAACCAGATAAGAATACAACAACGAGGTTAGATAACTTGAAAAAAAAAAACTCACTCCCTCCTTGAAGAAGCATGTATATTTTGGATTCATAGTGAAGTTGAGGATGCCTGGTCTTAACAGATTCCTAACAACAGGAGCAAACGCATGCTTTAGAACTGATAACCACAAAAATATTTTAAACTCAGATACAAATATGGAGCTTCCAACCTCGAAAATCCAGTGTTCAAAAACTGAAACACCTTATAACAATCAGAGCTGATTAATATATTTTACTCAACCCATCTCCAGGTGCGAGATTTATTCAAGCCCTTAACTACATATGTCTAGCAACAAGACCAATCAATTTCGAAGCAAAAAATTGTAAATTTCTGCAAAAATCCCAGGGAAAAAAATTAAGAAACAATGAAGAATTTGAGCAGATATCATATCATAATCACACAGTAAATTATATAACTTATGAAGCGAGATTAAATCAAATTCATAGTATACCAGCTTAACAGCAACTTCTTCTCCAGTTTGGACATTAACACCTGAAGGAAAACAAAAACATATAAAAAAGAGGAATTCACAGTCAGATTTGCTCCCGAAAACCATTAAGAACCCTACACAAGAGCCAGAAAATACCCAAAAAGATTCAACAAACTGAACTAAGAATATTAGCTGATTATTTGAATAGCCATACCTAAATAAAGTTCACCAAACGATCCACTGCCGATCTTTCTACCCAACTTAAACTTGCCGCCGATTACGTTATCCATCGCTTGATTCCGATAGGAAAATCACAACTTCCGAAGAATCTGAACCCAGAATCCGATTCAACAGCAGGCTGCAGATGGTCCTGGAGGGTCTAATGCTGGTCTTGGATTTGGCTGTAGAGAGAAACGATAATATACTAAGGTGAGGGATTTCAGACCAATTTTTCAGTCCTATGTGGTCTGTGCAAATCTTATTCCTCCCCAATCTGTAATCTGACAGAGCTAAGCCCTAGTTACTAGAACATCAGACGGAACAATATTGAGATCAACTTTTACATCAAGTAGAAACAAAGTAGCCAGAGAGTAGCTGAACCAACAACAACACCCGGGTGACGGATTTTCTCGGGAAAGTTCAGGACTCGCGATGGAAAAAACGCGAGTCTGCCAACTCTTTGCAAGGGAAAATGGAAAAAAAGGAAAGAACCCAGAAGAAGAATCAAGCGACGACGATATCCGGGGGCAAGAAATTTGGAGATATGGATTTTCCCTCGGGAATTTCTTGGAGATCCTCGAAGAAAATAGGGGAAAACACAGAGAAAGAAATGGCGCCGGGAAATGGTAAGGAATGAATCTAAGGGAGATGAAGGAAGACGGCCTTGCAGATATTACATGAATATATTCAGTTATTTAATTTATTATTATCAATATGATTACATTATGGGAAAATCTTTAAAAAAAATAACAGGAAAAGCAATTTAAAACTAATAATAACAATTGGCTAAGTGTGTTTGACCAGTGATTGCCTGGTTGATATTTGATTATCATGATATATATTACATTCGTATATCATAAGAACCAAATTCTTAGGCATAACCTTAGGCAACGCATAATCTTTGTAAAGATTTGTCAATCAATAAATAGATGAACAACAAATGTCACACGAGTTTCTCATTACACCCACTTGGTCCAATGAAAGTATAATAACAGAAATTCCAGAAATCTAGACACTGCTACAAGTAACCATCAGTAAATAACCTGAGAGTTAAACAACTACTCAAAGGGGAAGAATTTTTTTTTTTTTTGGATAATCCGGAAGTTCACCGCATCTTTGACCCGACTACATCTTCCAGAAAACCGGAGAAGTCCAGGTGAATATCCCTCTTCACATTTGGATTTAAAACCAGGATAATGACATGTTTTGAATGTTTGGGTAGACGGGAAGAAGTTGAGAAACCATACCTTTTGTGTTCTTTGATTCTAACTCTCGGTTCAGAAATTTTAAACTGAAGGAATATATACAAACTTCGTTTTTGATGTTACGAGGTTTTTGATGGGTCATTTAAAGGGTCGACAGCGGTAAATAAATTTACCGTGGCGTCTAAAATTGCAGGTTCATAAAGAAGTAGAGGTAAAGCTGCCTAGTATATTCCATAACCAATCGGCATCCGGTTCAGCTTGTTGAAATTCTATCTTTATAGCCAAACGGTTTCACCTTTTTAGACCTGAATTATCTTAATTTGGGTAACTTCCATTGGATAATTTTGGTCCGACCACCAAAACAGGCCATATACCGACAACAAATTTCAACTGGTACACAGCCTAAACCGGAACCAAATCAAATCAAATCAAATAATCAGACGAAGGCATCCAACCAAGTACACTGTGTCCAACACTAAACTTCATCTTGAACAAATTGGTTACAACAACTTAGTTCAAAAGCCAAACACCAAATCTCTCTCTCTCTGTGAAACATATTTACCTTTTTTTCTGTTCGCTTTTGCCAACTAAACACCCTTTTGAACAAGAGAACACGAATCAAAAAACATCATCATCCTATGTGAACTGTCTGTTCCAACCCTTAAACCTCCCCCCCCCCGTCGACAGTTTGTTTAGAGGAATCTCGTTTCTTTGACATTTCTTCTACTTCCATATGTTGCACTTCCAGATGCTTCGAATCGGGTTGATCACTCCTAATTGTGATTTCACTTTTGCCATTCTCCTCAGTATGTCCAAAGCTGAGGCCTTTCGCCCTGACGAAAAATAACTCTACTTTCTCTCGACCCCCCGTTGGCCAAGAAATCATTTTACCGGGGAACAAACAGAAAAGTATTTGAAGTCTGGAGGTTCAACCAGAAGAACTGGACTTACCCTCTTCTTTCTCGGGAACTTCTTCTATTTGCGGTGGCAAGAGATTCAAGAAGCTCCCATGGTGGGTGGTGGTTGATGATTCGTCCTCTGTTTCAATGTATTTATACCCATCTGTTAGAATAACCTTTACCCATGAAGAAAATACTATGCAAATTCCAAGAAACAAAAACCAAGAACCGACATAGTTATAACTTACCCAATGTGTTTCTTTAAACATATAAAACGACCACTTGTTTTATTCGCATAAGTAATGTGCAATTTCTGGAAAAACTAAATGAATCCCAGGTGATGATCTTACAGGAACTAAGTCTGCCACTTGTTTTATTCGCATAATAGATAAGGAAAAGCATTTACCAAAGAGGGATTTGATTGATGGTCGCTTTGGCTTTGTGCTCTTCTTCTTCAGCTCAGCTGCACATTAACAGGGAAATAATCAATATATATACTATAGAGAAAAACAAGCAGTGTAAATTACATGAAGAATTAATACTCTCTTAACAAAAAAAAGGAAGAGAAAAAGTGAAGTACCCATCCCTGATAACTGGTCATCATTTACGATTTCAACGTTCTTGTAAGTATAACCCACAAAGTTCATGTCCTTGGATGAGAGCATCTGCCCGGGAAAAAAAAAAGACAGCTTCAGTTTAAGAAAGCTAATAATAAAAAGAACGCTACACTTAAAATAACGCGATCCAATTCCTTTTAGTTTGTTATGTACTAACTCCATATCTTTTGAAAGTTTCTGCTCTCATGTTGATATAGAAGCTGATATAGCTTCAGGGGTGAAATAGGTTATCTCAACCCTTTAAATGATTGCTGAAAATATTCCATATATTTTTTTTGTAATATTGCTCGCATGTAATCTTTAAGCCAATATTCTATCATCTAGATCCCACTGCATTGATTCTGTCTCAATGATACTTAAAAAGAGTAAGAACATAATTGCCTATGCATTACCTTCCTCCATGGACCCGACTTTGCCGATTTTGGAACTTGATTGTCAGTCTGTGCCAAAAAGGATCAAGAAGAGAACAGTCAGTTTTTTTTTACCGAAGGCAAGATTTGAATAAAATGACACTAATTTTTTATTAAATCAACATTTTCAATAAAAAAAAAGGGTATTAACCACTAAATTACCTCTTCAAATTTTTCAAAATTCTGGGTGTCCAACTCATCATTGACTCGGGGAATAAAGGCGGCTTTCATTTGATACAATCTGTTCCACTCGACACCTCCGAACCAGGGGTGAGCCTAAAGAAGAAAAATGCCAAAGAGATCATTTCGGGTTTCCCAAAATTCTTAGAAAAATAGCAACTTCGAATCTCAAAGTGGATAATAGCACAAAATACCTTGATTTCATCTGGTCCTTTAGTTCCAAGCCTTTGTTCAACGTTGCATAATAGTCTGCTGATAAGATCCTTGGCTTCCAATGATAGTTTGGCCTCCTCTGGGAACTTCAGATAATTTCTCCAGTTTACTATCTGCAAAAAGGAGAACAAGGAAATCACCAAAGATATACAGTGAGAAACCACGGACAGAAAGAAAATAAAACAGAGAAATTCTAAGAAAATCGGAACTGACAATTCAAGATCACTCGAACGAAGTTTCCCTACTATATTCCAAACGTATAAGAAATAGTAAGAATGGGTTTATTACCTTCCTACATGTTGTCATTGGATCATCTGAATAAAATGGAGGATAGCCCACAAGCATTTCATACATAATGGCACCAAGAGACCACCTAAAGAGATACACGTGTTAACTGTTCATCCACATAAACCATTTGGGTAAAAGAACCCCAAAAGAGAAAGATCGAATAGTTGGCCACACCCTACCAATCACATTCCATGCCGTATCCTTTCTTCAGAAGTACTTCTGGGGCTATATAATCAGGAGTTCCAACAGTAGAATAAGCCTGTTATTTAGGTAATCAATTACATCCAACGCAAATTTCTATTCTGAAATGGGAATCTCTGAATTGCAACAGATGAGGCACAATCATGAAAACTCACAAGCATCCTTCTATTTCTCTGCCAGTTCTGCAGTTGTTCTTGTTGGGTGCGTCTTGGTGCAGCAGGACGACCATCACTTTGGAGAGCCCCGCTAAGGTTTTGTGTGACCGAGAAATCCTTTTCCTGGAGATTACTACAGTCTAGTGGTTTACATAATCCAAAATCCGATAATTTCATGTGCCCGTTTCTGTCAAGTAGCAGATTATCAGGCTTGATATCTCTGTAACACATCAGATAAAATTATGTATAATCAGAAGAAATGAAGAAACAAATACAGGGGCAAGTGAAAAATCCACATTGTTTGCTTAACTGACCTGTGGATATAGTTGTGCTTATGAATGGACTCGATAGCCAAGACAGTCTCTCCAACATAAAATCTGGCCTCATCCTCAGTAAGTGTATCTTTCCTCATTAGTAATGTCATCATATCCCCACCAGGGAGGTACTCCATAATTAGATACAAGTATTCTTCATCTTGGAAAGAACAATACAGTTTGACAATGCAATTGCTGTCAACCTCTGCAAGTAAATTTCTCTCTGCTTTCACATGTTCCACCTGAAAACCCGATTTCAACAAACACATCAACAAAATTAAAAGTCCTCCATTGAAAGAAACTGGAAAAAATCTGAATTACCTGGCCTCTGCGAAGCATCTCAGACTTTTTCAGTTTCTTCATTGCATATACATGTCCAGTAGCCTTCTCCCTGCAGATCCTAACCTGCATGTAGACAAAGAAAACACAAAACCACAAAAGAATACGGTCAGCGTTCAGGACAATGTGAATACGTGCACATCAGCATATCACCGGGAAAACAAAAGTTGATCGATAATACATGAGATGCAGAAAATTTTCTTGTACCTCTCCGAAAGCGCCTTTCCCAATCATTGTCAATGGCTCAAAGTCATCAGCTCCCATTTTATGTCTCTGACGCCGCATATACTCAGCTTCTTTCTTCTCCAAATCCTTCAGTAAGTTGTTTTGCTCCTCCTCTGAGACGTCAGCAGCAGCTAATTTCTTTTCTAGCATATTCCGCCTGCATCAATTTGTAAATACCACAAAAAAGAGCGAAGGGTTTGGATCGAAGTTACACATATAAATCATAGAAAATGCAAACAAGGAAAATAAAGCCATTGCTATTCAGGCACAATTAAAATCTTTTCAGCACTAGAAACAGATGTTATAATCGACAGAAACAAACAACAGAAGTGCTTATGTCAGGAGAGAAGTAGTCAGCTGAGGAAAAAATAAAGGCTCCATCAATATCAAACACTTGCCGTTAACACGTGCCAGATACTTAACCACCCGAAAGGCTTGTGACTTTAAAAACATAGATTTCATTGAGAGAACGGGATATCACATTCATTTTAAATCTAAAATCCTCTGGTCAGGAGAAATTGCATTCCATTTGACATTTCCTCAGCATATTCAGTCTACCTAGGGACAAGACTTTGTTTCCTAATTCTGCCCGAACCGTAAAAAACTATGTGGATAGTATTGGATTAACAATCCTATATCGGAAGGTAATAGAAAGCATGATACACTTTAAGGTGAAACAACAAGCCAACTTGAATTTCCCTAAACCCTGAATTGAGGAATCAATTAACACCATACCCAACAATCTTATTCGTGTAGCATGCCACAATTTTCTTTACAAGCTAAAAATTAGAAAGAAAATCTTCGGAGAATTGCTAATTAATTAACCCATCTGTAAAGCATACACTCATCATGTAAACTTTCATTCTAGCAATCCACAATGCGATTTTACTTGAAGCTATTAAGGTAAATAAATATCTCAGAGGAAAGAAATTACTTTATATCATACTCAGGCTCATTGTGGATGCCAACCGTAATCAAAACCCTTTTTCAATTCTATATTTTACTTCAATTGTAGTATTCAGATATATGGAAAATCCACGAGGAAAGATTGATGCCAATAAACGAAAACTTCATCATACATATGCAAAAACCAGTATTATGAAAACACATATAGATATCATACCGCTCCTTTCTTTCCTGCAGGCTCTGCATTTGCTTTTTGTAATGATTCTCAATATACTGTTTCGCAGCTTCAGCCTTCTGCTTAGTTACACTTGACAGTGCTTCCTCACCGGCTGCTTTCGAGCACTCCTTTACATTACTCGTAGTTTCCTTCTTTTTCGAGGGCTTCACCTTGTCTTTAGACTTTAACTTATTCAGCCAAGATCTGGCAGTCTCCATTTCCTCTACCTTCTACTTGCCTTATTTACAAATCAACGGGGAATTTGATTTGTGCGGATTGCGAATTTCACTCCAGCAATGAAGAACAATATTCATATGTCGAACCTACAACCCAGATAACGTCGTGTATTAGCTTACAGTGGCTCCCACAACACATCTATAGAAGCAAATCGAGATTATTAAGATTTAGATACGTTTTGGTCTCCACGAGTACAGATAACCTAAAATAAGAAACGTTTAGCCACAGAACGATAAAAAGAAACCAAACCGTATGAGAAGAAACGCATAAAAACACACAAGTGCGTCACTTTGCATGAATCCATGAACATGATTGTTCAAAACATGAAAATATATAGCGAATTGCAAAGCATGTAAATAGTTCAAAATCTCCCATAACAGCAAATGCACAATTTCCTTGAACAATATCTGATCATTGCCATATTTTCATGCATCCCAAGAAACTCAGTCTATAACCATTCAAATGACTGAATAAGAGAACAGACCAAACACAAGTTATACAACAGACAATCCCATTGTAATCATAGCACCGGATGCAATAAATCTGGAGTTTGAAAATTTTGCAGAATATAAAGACTAGCATTGAACTTATCAAATACATAAGCAGAAGCAAATGTAGCAAACAAATAAAAAACGAAAAACTTTTCATGTCCCGTATCTGAAACAACATCACTGGCCAATCCTATCAGTACAATGACATACCTGAATCGAAATTACAGAATTCCTTAGTATCATAACCCGATTAGATGATCAGTTGAAAGCAAAACGATACCCAATCGATCAAAAGGAACATACGAGTCTGCAAATGACATGAAGACACTAAATATACTCCGCTAAATTTGGGGAATTCAGAAACCAAGCAGGAAACCCTAGGTTGGGACAGTGAAAATGCGCCGAAACTCAGATCAAACGGTTCCACAAATGCTCAATTCGCAGAAAGGGAAAAGGATAAACTAAAGGGCCTCAAAAACCAACCGCGAGATTAGGAACACTGACAGAGAGAGAGAAAGCGCAGAGAGACAAAGGCCGTAGTGACCCGAAATTTATGGTAAGAAAACAAAGACGAGGATGAAAAAAAAACCCTCGAATTCGAGGGTTCGATTACTCAATTTCTCCTCTCTGTACTTCGATTTGTGGGTAGAATTTTGCAGAGAGAGAGAAAAGCTCTAACCTTTTCCTTTTTGTTGTTGCTCCCGTTCGATGTGTGTGAATGGCAAAGACTAAGCACACCACTGTCCTTCTGTGCCAATCCCTCTCCCCTCAGTTTTTTCTTTTCTTTTTTTTTTCCTTCTGGATGTGTCTTTTAAATTTTCGGGATCCTCATTATGTTAATTAGTTTTTAATCACCGTAATTAGGGGTTTAAATGGACGCAAAGCAACCAACTCGATTTTAATTATGTATTTGTGAAAGTATCATGATTCCGCGTGGAGCCCACAACGGGATAATGTCAAAAGGCAAGAACATAAATTTCAAAGCTATCGAAGAACATGTTTTTTTTTCCCTCTAATTATTTTGGCATGATATCTAAAGCATATAAAATTTGGGTTGATAAAATTAATTAAACGCCCCATTCTTCACGTAGTCATTCATACTTAAAACAAAATCGTTGAAAAAATATTGTAAACTCGATCAAGGCAGAAACGTGGGCGGATCCACATTCATTTGAATGGGTCACATGCCCCGTTTAGTTAATTATAAAATTTTAGTTTTAATAAAGTTTTAAATAAAATTGTTGAAAGAGCTTTAAATGATTGCTGAAAATATTCCATATATTTTTTTTGTAATATTGCTCGCATGTAATCTTTAAGCCAATATTCTATCATCTAGATCCCACTGCATTGATTCTGTCTCAATGATACTTAAAAAGAGTAAGAACATAATTGCCTATGCATTACCTTCCTCCATGGACCCGACTTTGCCGATTTTGGAACTTGATTGTCAGTCTGTGCCAAAAAGGATCAAGAAGAGAACAGTCAGTTTTTTTTTACCGAAGGCAAGATTTGAATAAAATGACACTAATTTTTTATTAAATCAACATTTTCAATAAAAAAAAAGGGTATTAACCACTAAATTACCTCTTCAAATTTTTCAAAATTCTGGGTGTCCAACTCATCATTGACTCGGGGAATAAAGGCGGCTTTCATTTGATACAATCTGTTCCACTCGACACCTCCGAACCAGGGGTGAGCCTAAAGAAGAAAAATGCCAAAGAGATCATTTCGGTAAATGAATAGAATCAAATAAAATATAACTATAATAGAAACCAATTTGATATAAAGATGAAATGGTTATGATTTTTTAAATCCAAAACTAATAAAAATAATAATAAAAAATCCAATAAATTTTTTTGAAAAAATGATTTTTTTATCAATAAAAAATCGAATTCGAGACGAAATAAAATTTAACCGAATTTAATCGAAATTTATATATAAAAAAGAATCGTTATAGTTTTTCTATAAATGAAATAAGAGAATCTAAATATAACCAAACGGAACATGTACAAAAACCCGAAATGGAAATTATTTTGGCTTGCTGAAATATTTTCTATATTAGGAGATGGAGGGAGATGTGTTAAATTCAGTATAATATCTTATCTGCATTTATAAAAAAAATAGTATTCTTTTTTGTAGATTAGGACTTAGGAGTGTTAAAATCATAATGTGTTGTGTTTTACAGCTTGCGTGGCCTCGTCAAGAAATGATGTGCATATTTCATATGGATTACTCGCATAATGTGTAGTATCCATCCACCTGCATTAAAAAAAAATTGAAGACAAAAGAGAAAACTTGAGAAATCTTTGTATCAGTCAGTTGTTAAAAGGAGATGTTCTAACGGTGTTTCTGTTTCTTTATTCTGCTTCACTGACTGGACAATATTTGACAACTTACAGAACAGAAAAAAAAAAAACAAAACACAACAAAAAAAAGGGCCTATGTTGCAGAAACTGGTTCGGTCTCTTTGCTTTGATGTTGAATCGGTGGTGGATTTGACTGTGTAGAAGAAGAAGCCATTGGCGGTAGAGCTGATGATGATGCATGTGGACTGTACCGCTTTAGCAACCTGTCTTTGTTCTTGTTCCACCATTCTTCTGCTTGATGCTCATCGAATCTCCTTTTACTGCCATAACCCCATTTCATCATAATGTCAAATCTCACAGCAATCCATATATACAGAGATAAGAGAGTGCATTTACTTGATCAAAGTACCTGAATCCAACCCAATTCATGACATATTTCACAGAAATCCATAGAGTGAGAGTGTGTGTGTGTATAATGACTTGATCGAAAGTACCTGAATCTAACTCGTCTGAAGATCTTGCCACCACTGGAGTGAAGAGCATAAGTAACGTAGACACCGGGTTCAAACTGTTCTATAATCTCCTTGCTTCCTGTTCTTGATGATGATGATGACGAAGTAGAAGATCCCTCCTCTGTTGGTGCTCTTGAATCTGAGGTTTGAGAACCTGTCTCTGCCTCTTCAGACATCACCCTGCCTGCTTCTTGCTTCTCTATCCTCTCTTCTTCTTCTGTGTTCGTGTTTTCTCGACTTGCTTCTGATTCTGTATATGAAGCTCTTTCATTCGCATTCACGTAAGCTTCAGCCTTTCCATTAATGGATTTAAAAGCTTCGCTCTCTGAAACTTCTGGAGGTAACTTCTCCCTCAACCCTTTCAACTGGTACATAGAAGAAGAGTACATCTCGTGAAACAATGCATCAATGTAGGAACAATTATATTTCTTTAGTTGCATAGATGAATACCTTTTACGAATAAATCTTATTCTCACATCATATCATTTTTTTTCTTTTCCTCGATCACATTCCATGATGTATCGAACTGATCATACCTGTTCTATGGCAGACTTGATGATTTCTGTTGCTGCCTTGTGCTTTGAAGATTGCTCTTCAGCTAATTCAGAAGCCTCTCTAGCTTCTCGTTTTTGTCTCTGGATCTCTGCATCTTGGTTATCACACCTTTGCTTCAAACTTCTAACCTGAAACCAGCAATCAACAAGTGTCGATTATGAGTCCAAACTCAGTCTGGAGTTCGAAAAATATGTGTAAAGGGGAAAGAGAGACCGGCTTTAGAAAGAGAGAAAGGACATAAAACCCAAACCTGGTTCTGCAATTTTGCCATTTCTTGGTTTAGAACGTCGTTCGTCTTCTTCAGACTATCAATGACACTTCTAGAAAATCCAGAAGTCCGTGGAGGGCTTGGTCTTCTTGCATATGGCGAAGAGGATCTCGTAGGTGGAGAGTGTGGAACTGGAACGGGTAGTGGACCTGATAGAGGAGGAGCAGGTTTAAAAGTACTTTGGAAGGCACTAAGTGAACTCGGAAACGCTATATCTTTCAGAGGCAAGTTAGACGGAACTTGTGAGGCTCGGACAATGGAAGGAGAATCGGACCTAACTCCAGGTCTTGATGACCTGATCTCAAGATACTTGACTGGTTCAGTGGTCGGAGACAGCAAAATCTTTGAACTCCTCAATTCTCTGTCCAATCTCACCGACCCATCAAGTGACCATCGAGGAGCTGTGACTTTCTTGTTAGCGTTTGAGTTATACCCTCCTGCCTCGGCTGCTTTGAGTTTGGTGTAGCAGGCATCACATACACGATGTGGCTTTCCGGGAGTTGGAGCTAATGCCGCTTTCAATGCCTTCTTTGAACTGCAAGCATGGCAATGGACAAGACCACAGTTGTAACAGTTGTGTCTTTTTCGAGTAAACCCGAAAGCTTGACGACAACCAGAGCAAACCGATTGATCAGCTCCTGAAACCCATTTATGGATACAAATGCTCGAGGTGAAGTTCGATCCACACGATATGCTCTTCACATGGCGGTCTTTGAGGGCTTCAACCAAAGTTGGTGTTCTTCGATCTTCAGTGTCTCCATGACCTAGTCTTCCATTAGCACCTTTTCCCCAGGTGAAAACTTCACTTCTAGATGTCAAGACAGTAACATGATGATCTCCACAAGCAGTTTCTTCAACGAATTCTCCAACTAACCGATCTTGAACCAAACAAGGTAACTTACCATCGGCTATGGAATTCCCGAGCTGGCCATGTATAGTCCCACCCATGGTAAAAACATGCCCTGAGGTTGTAAGTGCAACTGTCAATGTATGGCCACAACCTATCTGGTGAAAGTTGTAGTCAATAAGTGAAGAGACACAAGTAGGAAGCAAGTAGGTCTCTTTGTTTCCATGTCCTAACCTATGTTTGTCACCATCTCCCCAAGTAAACAACTTCCCGGACGAAATACTCGCACTGGATTGACCCATAACCTCGACTATAGCAGCAGTATGCCAAACACCACAAGCTACTTTTATGGTTTTAAGACCACTCAACGACTGTACTTCTTTAGGATAAGAAACACTTTCCCTGTCTCCATGTCCTAAAACACCATAAGTGCCATCTCCAAAGGTGAAGAGTTTTCCACTAGAAGTTGCCAAAGCCGAGTGCCATGTCCCACACGCGACAGATAATACTTGAAGACCTTCCACAGGACCAGAAACCCTTTTGGGGATCCAGTGGCTAATATCACTACCATGCCCTAGAAGCCCGACATTGTGAATACCATCTCCCCATGTGAATAAGTCGCCAGAGGTAGAGACAGCACAAGTATGATATTCTCCACAAGCAACGAAATCTATGTTGGTGAGAGCGAGAAATTCAATGAGTTTTGGACGACTAATGTCAACCATAATGCCATGGCCAAGCCTTCCTCCGACTTCTTCACCCCACGTAAAGACTTCGCCTTGTCTTGTCACAAGGGCCACATGCCTCGTACCACAAGCAATCTGATGAACATCAAGAACAACATTTGACTCCAGAGGTCTTGGAGTTAACACATCTGTTCTCACAGTTGCAGAGCTTACTGTCCCATCAGGTAATATCCCATCACTCCAAACTTCTCCCCAAACATAAACATCACCTAATGATTCTATGTCATCTGGTCCTGACACTCCACTCGAACAGCTCGGAGTGCTTGAGACACTAATCCGAAAACCATCAGTACTTGGCCTTAACATATTTCCACGTTCCCAACCCACATCTGAGATTCCCAGATTAAATGCAGGATTCTGAAAACCGAAATCTACGGATGCCCCAACACGCGGAATATTGTTAGTGAAGTCTATGGATGATGCAACAGAGGCGCGTCCACTGGTGAAGCAGTCACTGTCATGTATCTGAAACAAATTTGCATACAGTTTTCGGCGTTAAAGGTGCATAGAACGAGTGTAATCAAATACAGAGAATTGAAGAACGCACCACAGGTATCTCACTTCTGGAGCGTCTATTCCTACGTTGTCCAATTATAGACTTAAGGGCAGCAAACCAAACCTCTGTCTCAGCTTTGTCCTTGCAGATCTGTAGAAAAAGAAGCGAGCAAAGAGATGATACTGCATTTAAGCTTGCCGTCCAATTCGAAGACAAACCGCTACAATGATCAGGCAAGGCAACTAACCAGATCAAGAGACCTTTCTCCGTTGTTATAGATAAGAGAGAATGATAAGTAATCCTTCTCGGGTCGCAAATATCTTCGAAAAACAGCCTGAGCAAGTAAACCGGAACATATAGATACCACAAGATCACTTACTTTTGAACAATAGATTTCGCTGTCTGGCTAAAGATGCTAAATACTCACGGTTCTTTGTCCAGGGAGGATTCGCGAAACAGCAGATAATTTCAGTTTCTTTTCTTCTCCGTGTGAGTACCAAATCAGCGTCGCCTCATCCTGTTTTAGCAACATGAATACATTCGTCATTTTATGACAAAATTTTTAACTTAGCTTCTTGTCTGAATTCGGAGATGGCTTACCGGAGAAAGCCTGAATGCACGGAATTTGGGTCTCCCCTTCCGACTGTACTTGATTAACTGAGTTCCCTTTTTTAATGTGACGAGTGCCTAAAGACAAGAGGGTAAACATTTTTGGAGACAATTGCTTCATCGGAACAGAAATCACAGCCAAAAATATTCTTCTCCTTGAGCAAACCAGATGAAATCTCAACGTCAGAAACCAAAACAGAGTGGCATTTCCAGAAACATAACGACAGAAAATGCGGAAGCTTTCATCCAAAGATTGCTTCAATCACAAGCAAACCAAGAAACAAAGTTGATAAAAAAAAATGTGTTTCATAGATGATTAGGTTCATCATTCTAACAATATAAGATAAGATCATCATCGAATAATCTTAAGAAACGACAAAAAAAACATTTAAAAAAATCATGTGATGTTTTGATTCATATATCCTGGTGGTTTCCTAAAATTCTGCTGCTTACACGTAAAAGCCATTAAGAGAATGATCACCCTCGAAATCTCGAGTCTAGATTTCAATCCAATTTCAAATCAGGATTTCTTCTGTCCACAATTAGCCTAATCGAATTCTCCATATCTGATTAGGGTTCTCTCTCCATTCCAAATAACACATAGTATCAGTGAGAGAGAGAGAGTTACTTGCTCGATGTCGCGCTCGTGATTGGCATAACTAACAGGATCTGCCATTCCATCTGAGAAACTCTAGAGGAGAACGACGGAGAAGAAGAAGCTCAGGAAGCATCAGGTGGGTTTCACCTGTCTCCATAGATACATTCGTCGATTCCTCTCCCCTGCTGATTCCGTCACCACTCTCATCAAAATTCCACACAAAGTAAAAACACCAGAAGTTGTACAAACCGATATCGTTATCGATCAGAGAAATTTCTCGAGGGAAGAGATTGAGAGAGAAACAACGATGTGATGAATTTGGGAATTGTTTCACTGGATGCGGGGAGAGAGAGAAAGAGAGAAGGGGAAATTTTGAGAGGAAGGTCGCCATTGTAGGGATGTTTGAGAAGCTCCACAAGAATTGTTCTCAGATTTTGGCGCGCTTCTTCCATGGCTTCCACACGTTTCACTCACGCTTCCCTTTTTTTTATGCAAAAAAATAATTATTTACTGTGTTTTACCACCTCCTTCAAAATCCAATTGCCACGTGGCACTGCGAGGACCAATCATGTATGACATTAGATACAGTTAGTTTACGTCTCGGTCTTCTTCTTACATAATCACCCAGTTTCAGGCTCTGATCATGTGAATCCGCCATTGGAGAACCTGCTACGTATAAAAACCAAGGGATAGAAGGCTCTGGCTCAGGCAGCGGGTATATAGGCGGATCTAGAAAAAATTATTATCGAGAATAAAAAAACGAAAACGAAAAATGACAAGGATCATACCCCTGTCTCGTGGATGATTTCTTGTGTTGGATTTTCTTGGAGAAGTGAAGGTGAGATTTTCTCGGGAAAGAGAATCTGAAGTCTTGTGTTTTCAGTGTCTATGGAGAAGAGACAGAGATGGGTTCCATCAAAGTTGGGATATTAGACAATGGCATGAAACTAGTACACACATGAGTTGACACCTACAGATCCATCTGAATTCTACAACAGGGTAAATGTTAAACGTAACCTCTATAATGTTCTACAACATGCATATATATATATGCATGATAAGCTATCTCAAGCTCATATCATGATCATCATCATCATCAAAATCCGGTTCATTAAACAGTCTGCTTCTCTTTGCCTCTCTTGTTGTTGCTGGTGCCCTTCCCTTCTTTGGTTTTCCCCTGAATATATGAATCAGATTGATAAGAGAAGTAAAAGATGATTCGATTTCACCACAGGTTTCTTTCTAGATGCAGAAACGTTGCAAATAAAATTCGGGAAGCTTACTGCCCCACAGAAAAAGCTCCGCCCTTGAGCCGCCCTGTCCCCACATCAGCTCTTCCGTCTACATCATCCGAACAGATCACTTGTGAAAACTGGGATTAACCCATAGTGGAGAAGAGAAAGTAAAAAACAGTGTGTAGTTGAAGGGTTTACCATCTCTTCCAACACCAAGTTCTTCAGCCTGAACACAGATCAGGAAGGTTAACATTACCAGTCTAAAAGCTTGTGGCCAGTTAGACAGTCTAAGATAACGAATTCTCACTAACAACAATTGGTTGTGAACAAGTTCAGTAAAAGTACGAAATGACCGTAACCACATGAAACTAGATATGGGGATATTTTATTAAAAGGATCAACAAAAGCTATCTGATTGTTCATAACATACAGATTAACACACAAGTTCAAGGTGTTTGACATGTTCCATGAGCCATGACCCTTCCCCTTTAGGTGTTCGGATTCTGTGTTCATTCAGCCCGTTAGACATGTGCGCCTAGCTACAATCGACTATCTTCTTACATATTTTCAAGCTCGAAATCTAATGGAAAACTGAATCTAGTTCCTTCCGTCAGTGATTCAATGGCTGACCTGACCCCCATAAAAGAACCAGAAAATCTCTCACAGTGTTATGAGGGAAGGAAGACTGTAATAACACATACTGCCGGTGATGTCACAGAAGACAATGAGAAGATCCTGTCTTCAGGCTGGAATTTCCTTGACCTCTTTGCGCTGCAAAGAAAAAGTTCATGTCACGTCAGCTTTGGAAACCAAAATCTAGTAAAGGGTGTTACTCTGTATGAGCCACAAGAGATAGCTAAACCAAGAAACTCCAGAAAAGCTGTTATCTTGAAATGCAACGCAGAACGCTCCTGTCTACACTGTCCAAAGCTCGTGTTTGAAGCAGTAAATCACAACACGATGGAAAGCTACACAGGATGCTGGTTGCATCTTCGTACAAGAATTTTCAAACTCAACATGATTAGATTCGAAGGTCAAGCACTGAGCTTTTTACAAGCATTTAGATAACATACAGCTCCTTTTTTTTCCTTCTCAACCAGGCCAAGAGTAACAATCACAAATCCCTGTCTTACTTGAAAAGACAGGTCCTTTCAACCCAATTCAAATTAGAATCAGATTCACCGCTGTGAATAATGATACAATAGCCCCAAAATTCTCATGATGCAGAGATGCTGAATAAGCTACCTAGCCGCACTCTTGGATGAGGATAAAAAGCCTTCATAACCCTTCAACGCATTTCCGAAATGGCTTGATTCCTGCAAGTAGCTTGTCTCTAGCTCATAAACCTAGGAGACAAAAGCTCGCGGCTTTAGCTGTCTAGAACATAAATTCCCCATTTAAGACAAGTGAAATACGAATAATTAAGTTTGAAATTCGATTTTTCGAGACCAATTGGATCGGTTCTAGTGCGTGCATGCCCATCAAAATGCATGGACAACATCTAACCTGACCCGCGGCGGATGATTTTCCCAGTAACCCAACTTTCTCGCGTTTTCTAGGGAAACAAACAGAGGGCAGTGACAGATCATTAATTACCTGTTTCTCGACGCTGCGCAGCTCTTCCTGAAGCTTCTCTCGCTTGTTCAAAAGTGTAGTGAGAATGGCACCAGGATTCGCCGATCCCTTTTGCCCTAACGACATTTTCATAGGCAAGATTACCGAAATGGAACGGCTTTTGCCCAAATTCCGAATCGATACTCGGTAAATTTGGAAAGGAAGATGAACAAAACTGGAATTGTCGCATCAATTGAAAGACTGGGGAGTGAAGTTGCGGGTGAAGGTTAGGGTTTCCAACGGTTCGGGTTCCCGTGTTCGCGCAAAATTCAATCCCAAATCGTATAAAAAAGAGGGGAAGAAATTCTATGAGAGAGAGGAACAATTCATTTAGTTTTGTTTTAACATTTTTTTATTTTTTGAGATGATATTTATTCCATTTTTATGATATTCAACCGTACTTCAATTTAATCTATATCTCGTTTTTATTTAGATAAATATTTCTTTTAAAATATATTTGATTTTTCTTCAATTTTTTAAACTATTTTAGTAAAAAAATAGAATCACTCGGACAACCAATTTTAGAACTCATCGACATTCACTTCAATAGAATTATATTATTTTATCATTTTATAGTCTGTTCGATATAAAGGAATAAAAAATGGTAAATGGCGAACTCTAATATATTAATTACTTATTTATAGTTTTTATATGTTTATTAATAATATCTATAATAAAAAACTGTTTAATGATATAAATTTATTTGAACAAATGCGTTGCTGACGAAAAAGGAACTTTCATTTGCATAGTTTGTTAATTCCTTAATTAATCTCTACAATCATAATTTAAAAATAATTTTAAAAAAAAAGTTAGAGATGCGTAGAAAACATCGAGTATGGAGCATAAAAAAATAGAATTTAAATTTATTATTCACTTTAATTGTAAGATTTGGTTCGTTTTTAACTTTGGGGCCAAATCTAATCTAATCTAACGATGCGTTGTGCAGCTACTAATACAGTAGTAAATGTATAGCTTCATGCAGTTGTACTGAAATCAATTGTATTAGAAAGTTAAAATTAAAATATATATAGAAAATTGGATATTAAAAATAAAGATTGGACTGTTGTTTTTTAGCTTTTATAAATTTAAAAAATAATTATATCATTAGAAGTAAATCGTCATTAAAAAAGAATGATTTGCAATACTATTATGATTGAAATTGGTTTCATCAAAACATATTTCATGCAATGTTAAACGATTTTATATAATAATTCAAAATAGTTTAGCCCATATATATAAAAGATATATTTTATACTATAATCCAATATATATGCATACATATATTGCAATGCATTATATATGAACTTTTAAATTATCTATATATTCCGAAAAAAAGTTATTTAACATCAAAAGGAGGAAAATAAGAATCAATAAAATATTAAAAGATGCAGTGTTTAACCAATATCATATTGAAAATACCAATGTAGATAGTTCAAATTGGTTAAATGGAATGCAAAATAATTGTCTTGATCTCGAGTTCAACCTCAAATTGGAAAGATGAGCGTAATTTCAATCATATGGCTTATTTCCGGACCCATGATTAATCTGAGTTTTGACCTAAAATACTCGGTTACCCAAAAAAATATCATATTGAAAATACGATTACCACAGAAAATCGACATCTAGTACCTGTGGAATCTTGTGTACATATGAAGAATAAATGTAGAAATTTGTAATGACCCGAAATCGCTACGGAATGATGTTATTGCCTTCATACACGAACACGAGACCTTTTAGCGTATATTATCTTCATTCGCACACATCTCAAAAAGTATTTCCCAATAGGTTAATCATTCTAAGACGACTCCAAGACAAGCACACTTAATTTTGGAGTTCTCTCGGGATAGACAACCGAAAAAATAGATGTATCTTGTTAGTATGAGTAGTTCAATCGATTCTTTTAAATTATCTTTGATTGTATAGTCTCATACCTCGGATCCTTCTCATTTCGGTGAGTTCGATTCATTTCTATATCCATCTAATCTAGTGGTACTCGGAAGCCGCTCATTGTCTATGTGACTTGCACCGACGATCACTTCCACCTCGTCCCAACATCGGCTATCACAGAAATCGACACCTAGTACCTTGTGAAACCTTTTGTATATTATATAAAAATAAATGTAATTGATTCAAAATTCTTGTAGGTTTTCGGATTATAAATAAAAATTGAGACTCTTCATATCATTGTTTAGATTTATATCGTTTATAAAGTTTAAATTTTAAATTCTCAAGATTATAGAGTGTGTGTATATATATATATATAAAATTTTCGATATGTCCATTATATCTCTATATACTTTTTCGTTTCTTATAACGTTTTTTCTCCTTATATGTTTTTTTATTTTTTATATTTTAAACGTAAACCATGTTTCCAAAATAATTTCTATTTTTTTATTACCTAGCATTTTGTTCTCTTTATATTTATAATTTTCACTTAATAAAATCATTGGACCGGTGGAATGTTTTTGATTAAAAACCGTTGGAACTTTTTTTGGTGTTCATTTTATATCAAAATGATTTATGCAAAGAATTTATTTAAGATATAACTAAATGATTCTCAAGTCAAACATAAAACAGAAGAGGGATCAGAAGTGACATGACATGTGACATAAACTGTTTAATTCGAATAAAATATAATATTCTAATTTGCTCAAATCAGAATCACATCCCAAAAATAACAAGATTCGTATATGTATTTATATATATATATATATATATATATATTGAAAAACGTAAAAACATAATCAGACAAATAAACAAGGATTTGACCCTTTGCCATTACCATAAAGGAGAAAAAACATTATCCACGTACGTACCAAACTGGAAACTGCATGACTCGAATATTCCCCTAATCAAAAACCCTACATTGTTATTATTTTCACCACTTTGATATATATGCAAAAATCAACTCCGAAAACATTTTATACCTGATCAAATGAAAATCAATTATTCTTCTTTAACAAAAGTATCCATTATTCTTTTTTAAAAATATTGTTATTGATAATCAAATGAATCTAAATAATTATTTTTTTAATAGAATTCAAACTAAATAAAAAAAATGAGTAATATAATCATTTACTTTAACACCACTGTTTGATGTTTTTGCATCATCTTATAATTTTAATATCTGAATTTATTATTTTTAATCTATAAGGATCAGATCATAGAAAATATCAAAATAAAAATTTTATTTAGATTGGTTCATCACATTTTCGGGACTCAACTATATCAATTTTGAGTTAAAAGATAGTTTTATTCCAATTAAATTGCATTTTTTCTCTCCGACGACCATTCGAACATAAGAACCGGACAAAGACATTCATATCTTCTCGACCAATTATACCGCTCGGCCTATTCCGATTGGTTAAGAAAGAAAAAAAACTTGTAATTCTATCAAATTTTTTCTCAATTTTGATAATATAAGACACGAAAAAAACATTTCCATTTGGTCATGGAATGACTAGGGTTAAATGGGGCGGTCATGGATTCCTGATTAAAAGATTCTCTGTCTATCGAACAAGAATATATATTTTTAAGAACCTCTTATGTTCAGGATTTTTCAGAATAATTAATGCTTCCACAATGCCACTACCGCACCATCGTTATTGTTTCTACGTATAATCTATATATACATACATACATACATACATATATATAGCATGTACACGCATACGTATATGTTGCATGATTGAATTTTTTGCAAGATATGGAAACTTCCAAGAAAGAACCGTGCACATAGGAAAATAATAATAAGAACAGGAAGATGGAAAAAATAAAATGAAAGGAAAAGTCAATCCCACGAATCTTCAAAAAGTATAATCACAAGAAAACGACCGTCGAATCTGACTCTCGGCGATATCTTTAATTTCTTCCAAGAACCTTATAAATGCGCGCACACACACATATATCTATATATATATATATATATATGTGTGTGTATATAAATCTCACAACACAACACTTCAAAGCAAACCAATCTTGAACACAGAACCAGACAAGTGGTGTCTCTTCTCTTTGTACAATCTTCTACATTGTTAATAACCATCTTCTCATATTTGATAATATATCTCTAAAGTTCATGGAAGGTTCAAGCAAGAGGGCAAGCAGTGACCAGCAGGAAGACCGTCAGGCTCGTTACCGAGGCGTTAGGAGGCGTCCGTGGGGAAAATACGCAGCGGAAATACGAGATCCGTCTAGGAATGGTGCTCGCCTTTGGCTCGGGACTTTCGACACGGCCGAAGAAGCCGCACGTGCGTATGACCGTGCAGCTTTTAACCTAAGAGGTCATCTCGCCATACTTAACTTCCCCAACGAGTACTATTCTCGTGTCCCCGATTTTTCTCCTCGCCCTTCTTCATTCCCTCCTCCTCCTCCTTCTTCTAAGTCGTTTTCGAGTTCTTATATTCCTTCCACTTCGAGTGGAGGGTCTCGACAGAACGAGAGGGAAGTGTTCGAGTTTGAGTATTTGGATGATAGGGTTTTGGAGGAACTTCTTGAGACAGAAGAGAGGAAGAAGCGAAAGTAATCATTGATTACTGTGATATTATTTGCTAATGCTTTTTATTAAATAAATCAATGTTTTTGTTGTGTGCGATCTTGTAGTGGAGAGACTATCTAGTTTTGGCATTTTGGAAATGTGCCTCTCCTCCATATTATAATTGTAAGAAAAACAAAATTGTATGATTATCTCATTTTTCTCGAATGTTAAAAAAGTTTAATACTCACATTATCTCTCTTATTCTAGAATCGTATTTGCTCCATTTCATTTGGGATACATGAAACATGTTCTGTAGATCAACCCCTCTTAATTAAGTTTTATATATATATATA